CACACACGCACACACACACATAAATAAATATTAAAAAAAAGAGTACAATTGGTGGAATTCATAGAAATATTTCTGAAGTGACTTATTTATTCCTTTTTATCATTACTGAACAAAAATGCTTTTGTGTAAGTGATATATAACCTTCAATTATATGTTAATTTGTAAATTTTATTAAATAACACCTGAGAGCACTTAATTATGCACGACACTTTGCTCAAGTTTTCTAAGGCTTGCCTCACCTCTTGGCACGAATATGTTTTCGTTCATGAAGAAAGAACAGAGTACATTAAAAGATTTTGCTTTACAAACATTGCTCCCGTCATTGTTAGAGGTACATCCTTGCTCACAAATATAGCAGGACAAATTCAATTCCAAGGAGTTAGGCATTCGTTGCACTCATGTATTTCACTGTAATTGGAAAGTTCCTACGACCTTTAAATTTGATGAGAAGAAAAAGAGGACATTAAGCTCGTTATTTTATCTTAAAGTCTACCAAAATCCAGTGACTCTAAATCATATTTCTATAAAAAATGGCAGAAATAGTTTATATAAATTGATCATTTTTTAGTGAAAGACAGTATCTAAAGATTTTAACATATATTCAGTATTTTTATGAAATTTACAATTTCTTGATAAGACTCACAGTATTACTTCAAAACTATCATTATTTTGAACACTTTCATTATAAGTTTTAACACTTGTGTCATTAAATGTGATAAATTCCGTGTTAAATACTATATTTTATTCTCGTACATGCCAAAGTGATTTTGATATTCTGAAATTGTTTATTGTGTTTCCTTGCACTGTTGTCTTTACAGTGGATATTCACTTTTGGCACCAAAAATTATAATTTCAATAAAGAAATCATAACTATATAATAATTACATATACTCTAAAGGACATGTTAAGATAACTTGCCATATTTTCATATGGTTATATGAAAATAAAAATTGATTTTGAAAACACTTAAAATATCTCACTCAGCTTTTCATATTCTATGGACAGGTTCTGCTTAGGGTATTTAATCTTTGGTACAATCATGCTGGGTATATTTTATTATTCTATTTTTTTTCTTTTTTGGCAGAACTGGGGATTGAACTCAGGCTCTCGCGCTTGCCAAGCAAGCACTTATTCCACTTAGTGGTCTCCCTGGCCACTATTTTATTATTCTTATACAAAGAATAAAAATGGCAGAATAATATCTGATATAAGAAAGATATTTCTGATGTATAACTTAATATTTCTTGAAATATGATCTGTGAACTTCTTCCATCAGACTAACCTTGCCAAAATTCAAATTCCTGGTCACAATCCCAACATGCTTTGTGAAAGTATTCTCACTTGATAACCCAGAACCTTAGTATTAACAAATTTTGGTTCAATGATAATTATTCTCATATTCACATAAAGAAATATCATAAAATGTACTGTACTAAAGAGTACTTTATGCATTCAAGTATTATGGGAGGTAGAATAATACAACATTTTTAAAAACTTTAGCGGTAATTTTTCACCTCAAAGTCAGTGTCTTAAGAAAGAAGGGGAAAAGTTAAAGACTGTTAAACCAGGGACGTCTTATAAGAAAGCTATTGGCTGCATTCAAATGCTAGAAACATTACCTTCAGCTGATGATTATAGAAAAAAGGGTACATGATTTGATTAGACCAGCAATAATTTATCTGTGTATCTATAATCTAATAATATGAGCCAGTGGGATAAGTCAGTGGACTATCTGCTTGCATAGGCAAGTGCAAGGACTGGGGTTCGATTTCAGGAATGATATGCTGTGCTGGCCCTGCCCCCTAGCTTGCTGAGCTGGCCACTAAATCCACACCCCTATAATCCCAGCACTGGGGAGGCTGAAAACAGGAGGATCACTAGGAGTGTGAGATGTGTAGTGAGACCTTGTACCAAATGCATTAAATAAATAAATAATCCAATAATATTTAGTTATAATTTTAGAAAGTTTTAAAATATTCAATATAGCATAGTGATAACATAAAGTAGATTTTTATTCTTCTAAACTTCAGAATGGAGAAAGAATGCAGTATAATTTTAAAATAAAGGCTACAAAGATGTTTGTGATGCTGAGTGGAAAGAAATACAGTGCTTGAGAACATCATGCTGAAAGAACTTGAAGAGAGTTGATCCTGGGTAAGCACAGGGAGCAGTGCATTGCAGGAGCACAGATTAAGTGTGACCAGAGGATGGGCTGAGAATTACGGCTGAGAAATATTGGGGGGCAGATGAGAGGGAGAGGGAGATCATAGTCAGCACTAGTGTGCACATAACTCATGCGGACTGGGCAGGAAATTTTGACGACTTGCAGACATTCCATTTGGTGAATATTCTTCATTAATGGCTTTGATCATTGTAGTCTACTCAGAACATGAAGATTTATGAAATTTTATAAAGATGGTGAGAATATTTGGTCTTAAATCAACCATTGGAAGAAAAACTTGTGGAGCAGCAAATGCTTTAAATTGTAATTTTGTAAGGTAGGCAGTGAAAATAATGATTTCTACTTGATTTAATATCTCTAAAGAGATAATTTTTTAAGGCTGGAAGAAATGCAGGGCAGTGGAACATATTTTATCTTTGGTCATAAAATATTATTTTTTAAGTAGTAGAAGTATTGCAAAGAGATTATTAGTTGATTAAGACATGTAACTGTTAAAATTATCTCTCCAGCTAAATCATTGATAGCTATTTTCAGTATGTAATAATTAAAATATTCCCTGAAGATTAGAAATTAAACGTGTCTGTACAGTTTAAGAGAAGAGGATTATGATCATTGACAGATGACTTCTTTCATGTGTCTTGAAGACTGGGTAATAAGCTATTGATAAATTAGGAAATTATGCTACACTGTTAAACAATACTATTTGTTCTACTTAAAAATTTCTCAGTTTGGAATAAGAATCACCCTATCTTTACCTTCTTTGCTGTTCATAGCTCTAAAGATATATTTTTCCTAATGCCCTAAAGTATTTAAAATATATGATACTTATTTTAGAATGTGATCTGATCAGTTAGCATTAAGTGCTCCTGTTCCACTTCCTGACATTGAAGCACTTTAAGGTAAAGATGAACTCCAGAGCTTCAGATCTCTTGCAGCACTGTAAAATATCCCTGGTCATTGCTTTAAGGTGAATACCAATGTACTGCTTCAAAGGAGGTAATGAAAGAGCACATTGTGATATTATAATAACTCTATATAATTGTACACATTTAGCTTTGCATACAGCAACCAACTACATAAATAAGTTATTGAGAAATCATTAGTAATTTCTCATTAGAGCCCTTAAGACATTCTCAGTGGGCATGCTTGACAGATGGAAGCTATGTGAAACACAAGGGTTTTGCATCGCCAGAATCACTGCAAAAACATATCTGAAAAAAATTCTCAAGCATTTCTTTCTGTGCTCTTCTGTAGATTATGTCAAAAGTTAGAATCTGTGAAAAGTCATGACATTGTTTCCAGATATTCATCTGGAATACACACCAATTAGGATTAGAAAGTGTTTTTTAAAATAACTTTTTCATGATTAATTTTATCCTAATTAGGTAAAAGTGTGCTTTTCTTTCCATTACCTCAAGAAGAAGTACTATAAGTAAATCATTAAGACAGAGAAATACATTTTAAGTCAAGCTCTATGACCATTTATCTGTTTTAATGATTTACTTATCCTACATATACATATAATATACAAAAAATTATATCACAGGCAAGCCTTTTATGAATAACTGGTCAAAAATTTGGCTAATGCTTGGGTAATCACCTAAAGCAAAATATAAATAACAGTATTAATTTTCATTTAAATCATGCTCCATATTCATGGTTTTATAATTTATCATTACTAATCAAATAACTTTACTCTGTAGAAACATAGCTGTCAATTATGCTGAAGTTACTATGTGCTTTTACAAAACAGTTCTGTATTCATGACTTGAATTTGTCAGTATGATGATTTCATGGTGTTTGCCCATGTTTCGGGAGAGCCAATACTGCCTTTATTAGAATCAAAAATAATGCACATTGTATCATTGAAGGTTAGTTCAGAAAATAGCTTCAACTGTCTGAATTGGCTGTGACAGAATTGACACAAACCTTGAAATTGTGGTTATTTAGTTTGGCCCACTGTGCCCACAGAGATCCTCTTGGAATAGTTCTGGAAGCTGTCCCTTTATTGTTTACAACTATTCTTGATATGGTGATATTTGACAGTCGTTTTAAATAAGAACTGAGGCCAATTAAATTGTTTCCCTGTGGATTCTCTTTGTCACATTCACAGAAGTGTCTGTGTTAGCCAGTGACATTGTTTAAATGCAGCTACAGATGCTCCAAAATTTATTTTACTCAATCACCTAATGATATGGTTATGATTATTTTCAAAGGATTGAATTGAATGAGGTCTATTATTTGTATACTTTACTAGATTTTTCATGAGAATATACTCATGTCTGTAAAAAGAAAGAACTTCTCTCAGTAAAAACATGGGTACTTTCTCTTGACTTCATGCTTATTGACATGATTTGTGTAGGAAAACAAGAAATCTGTGGCTCAAACCATGACACAAATGACCACTTGCTGGGTAGCAGTTAATTCGTCTTTGGACTTTGATTCATGAGAAAAACAAAATGTGGAAATTTGATCCATGAAAGATTTTCTAAGTGGTTGCTTATAAACCTCATTAATTTGTAAATTCATTTGCAATTCTTAACCTTGATTTCAATACTGGTATTAAATGTGCCATTTTAAGTGGAATCGTAACAAAGAAATAGCGATAAAGCTAAACTCTAAGAAGTATTTCAACAAATATACAATTGAAGTCACCCTCAACATACTGACAATACACAGGAAATTAGCAGAGTTAGCTATGGAATATTTATGGATCTGTGATAACTGTCTGCTTTATAATTTTATTTAAAATTCCTACATTAGACTCCAGAGTTTTGTCATCCGCTAACCTGTGCTGTTACTGTTTGGATCTTTCCAGATGCTCTGCCAACTGGTCAGGCACACAGTGTGAGAGGCCAGCTCCAAAGAGCAGCAAGTCTGGCCACGTCAGCACAAGTAAGTTCCTCAGGATCATATTTTATGTGGTCTATGCAGCAGAGAATTTTTCTTTTCAGTTTATGTCATTACTGAGACTTAGTAAATCTTCAGGGAATCATAGAAGAAATGCTTCTCTATTGGAAAGCTTTTGAAATGTGAGTGTTATTTTCTGATGTGATGTGACAGGAGTAAGCAGTTATGTCTTCTTCTAGAAAGCAACGCAACTTGGGAAGTTTTCAGAAAACAGCTTCAAACCCAGCATTAACTTTGGTTGGGAAGTGGCCATCAAACACAGTGGATTACAATGAATAAGAAAATAATCTGGAAAGAAAAATACTCCCATTTTCATTAGATTACAGAGTGTAGATTATCAAATTTTAAAAGTATAGACTCTAGATTATAAAATTTTATAGATTTCCACCACTTCAAACAAATATATGGTCCCAGTATCCAACTGCATCATGCCTCATTTCTCTGAGCACCTGACCTCTGTTCTTGCATTTTTTCCTATAGCTCTGCTTCATAAACCCTTCTCTTATCACCTAGAAACAAAAACAAATTTGCATTTCAGTGTGTTCTCACAAAAAGACTTCATTGGCTAGTTTTAAAAAAAGAAAATTAAATTATCCTGCATTTTTTTTTTGTGTGTGTGTGTGTGGTACCAGGGATTGAACTCAGGACATTGTGCTATTAAGATATTTATCAACTTTGTACAATGCCTGCGTTTTGAGCAGGTGTACTCTTAGGATAGGCTAATCTCCATTATCATTGTGTTTCCATATTTTTTGACAACTAAAAAATATTATGAATTTAAAAAATAAAAGTCTTCAATAATGTTTACTCATTTACATATATCATTTATCATACCATGAATGGAGATAATTTTAAAGGTTTGTAACATATATCAAGTTAATGCAAATATTCCTTAGAATTAAAAATAATATCTTTGACTAATAAATACTTCAGCAGTTTTTTCTATTCCATCTGCAAATACATCAAAAAGCCAAACAAATAAAATACATCTTCAGAATTTTTTTAAAAGGAAAGATACTAACAAAGTTTAAGGTGTATGATTTTTGTAACCTTGAAAAAAGCTCCAGTATTTCATGATCTACATATTTGTTGTCCTTATTTCCAAACAGTTTCTAATTGCTTTACAATACTGTCCCACTTTGCAAAACTTAGAGATAGTTTTGAGTAGTAAGTATGAGCACTATGCCTGGGGATTAATATTGTAATTTAAAAAGCAAGGTAACATTTAGTCCTGGGGCATCTTGCATATTCTCATATTAGGTGCAGGAAGGGGGCAGACCAAAAGGTAAGCACAGGCACACACTTGTAGGCCAGCGTGCTGAGCTTTGGGGAATTAGATTAGTAACCATTTTGTAAGGCAAAATAGCTGTCCTAATTTGATTTGGAAACTGGAGATACAAAGAGAAAAAGCATTCTTTCTCCTTTCTCTTCTCAGGACATAAACAACAAAATAATTTCATTAGCAATAATTTTAGCAGTATACTAATTTAATATTATTTTAAAAACAATCTACAGAAAGCAACGAAAAATAAAATTGTATTTAAAGATATCAATCTAAGATCAGCCTGAATGTATAAATTGGAAATGTGAAGATTAGAGCTTTAGCCTTTCTTTATGTTGATCTCTACGTTACCTAATAAAATAATTTAGAAAGTCAAAAACAGTTTTGCTTGTTTGTAAAACTCAGACAAAAAAAGAGAAAACTGAATACATATCTTTTAATTTTCTAAGATTACGTAATTTCGATCCTTTCAGGGAACATTTGGTGCTCAGAAAATATTTTGGAGGAAAGTGATCAAGATAATTTTTGAAGGGTGGGCTCACCAAGCACTTGCATGGGAAATAACTTCTGTAAGAGGAAAAGATGTTAATTACATGCCACACTTATAAAAGAAAGGATATCACATGAAAGCATGATAGTTATGGGTTGCAAGAAGTTACAACATTGTTTTCAAAGATTCTTAGGCTTCTCTCATCATTGATTTAAAGACATTAGATTTAATGAAAGTATTGATGCATATTCAAAGGGCTATTGGCTAGGCACTTGTCCAATTATCACAGACTAGAGCAAAGTTGATCAAAAATGACTCTATTAGAAAATGCTTATCATAGGGCAATTCTGCTTAAAGGTACTTGCCATAGTTTTATAGTTGTGCGGATGTTATTTTCTGATAGATGGTATTTTGGGTTCTGTATGCCTATGTAGATGTCTTTCCCCATTTTTGGAAACTCAAGAGGCCCTGCTGTCCCTAGATCCCAGACAGCTGCAGCCATCAAAGCTGAGCCACATTGCTGCCCATGCTGATAGCTGGGGAGAGCAAATAGACTGTTGAGTTCTGTATCACACGCAGACCGTGAGGTGTGGTGTCTAAGCAGCCACTGGTTTTAACGCCAGCCCCTGGGGGTTTAGGCTCATTTGCAAACTGCACATGCCTGACCTGGCTTCTCATCACATGGTGCAGCCCTTGTGTCTTTGCCAACATGAGATCCAACTTCTCAGAGATGTATGTGACTAGGCCATCTCCTCTCCTGGCCTGTCTCTAGTGGCTGTGTAATGTAGGATGGCCTGAAACTCATGGCAATCCTTTGCCTCAGCCTCCCAAGTGCTGAGATTATAGGCCTGTGCCACCACACCCTTATACCTGCTAATCCCTTCTTTATAAAGAACTTTACTTGTTAGTCCTCCTGATTAATTCACTTAACTACTAGGTGTACTCCTTCTATCACTTAGAAGATGTGTTCTCTTTACTCCCAGCCTCAATTATGAACTTTGCGTTGATGACCCACACATTCCTGCCATCTCCTCACTGACTTTTCTCCTGAGTTTCAAATTTGGCCACTTGATAACAATTACATCTGTACCTCCTGTACCCCACCTGTACCTCAGGTTCAATACATAAGCCTGTATTATCATATTCCTCCACCCAGCCAAACAATTCTGTGTACCTTGTTTTGTATTCCTCTCTGTATGGACTGCTGAATAATCTGAGACAAGTAAATTGCCTAAAGTTAAACTGATGGTAAGATTTGAACAGAGGTAGGATGGCTCCATGGTTTGATGTGCTCTACCTTCTCTGGCCGGAAAGGCTGCTTTTCACTTTAGCATTATGATAATAAATCTCTTCCTTCTTACGGCAAGTGATGTATATTGTGGGATCTGAAAAACTTATTCTTGGAAAAAACGAAAGACTTACTTTATCTCATTTGAAAATTTTATTCAGCTACAACCTGACTTAATACAGTATACACTTTTAAAATTCAGTTTATAATAATTCATCTATAATATATTGCTAAAATTCCCTGAAATAGGTATAGGTTTTTATAAGCTACAGTATGACATAAACTGTTATATATGCCACTTGAAAAAAACATTTTGATACATATTTCTTCTATAAATTTAAAAATGTGTATAGTTGGTATTTTTCCATCAACCTGATCTCTTACAAAAATTAAAAAAAAAATCTAGAAACTTGTGGAATTGGTACACTGCATTATTTATAGTGGATACTAAGTATTACTGCAGTTACTTTGATTGGTTACATAAACATATCAGAAGTCAAGGCTCTTAAATAGAGTGCTGTAATATATGGTATGGCAACTGCCACCTGTGTTGGGAAATATAAAAGAAAGAAAAAAAATCCTTTGTTTTGTAGTACGTATGATTAATAGCTTTCTACCTTACAGGAATTGGCAGAAACTAGGCGGAGCAAGTAAAATCTCATATTCTAAATACTTTAGACTTACACTAAAATCAAAGATATTTTGTACCTTAAGATTAGCAATGAATTGGTACATGTTTTACATCTAGCAGTTATATGAATTTTAGAGGAAAATAATGAATAATGAAAGAAGATATTTATAGTTATGATCAATCAGTGGAAATCATAGTTTATGAAGAAACCAAGCTGTTCTTTGGTATTTAAAATTTGGGAACAAATGTTAATTACCATTCAAAGTGCCAGATTGGCTGCTTTCATTAATTACTAATAAATTACGTGCTCATGTAAAGTTCAGTTTCCTGAAAGCAAAAATCTGATATCATCTGAATCAATCTTGGCTATGTAGTACAGGTAACATGAAAAGGCAAAGTCCTTCTTACATTTTAGAAATTGATTAAGCACGGTGAACCATATTTCTTTCTTCAATACACAGTATGGTTATTTAACAAAACTTATTTTTTAAAGTTTCAAATTGGTAGATTTTCTTATGTTTGAAATTTCCTTCATGAATGTTTTATTGTAGTAAATGATCTCCATTTAAGAATATCTTCCTCAGGAATACCACCATAGCAAGAATATACAACATATATAATACATATTATTAGGGATATATATATATATATATATATATATATATATATATATGGCTCTTTTATTGTTCCTAGTATTGCAATTAACTTTTACCCCAGGACTTTTATCTGTAGATGCATTTTTAGAGAATGATTCGTATACTTTAGTTAATTCTTATACATCTTGATGTTACATTCCCAAGCTATTCAAGAATACTTTCTCAAATTTTAATTAGTTGTTAATTTTGTTTCTTGCACTAGTCTGCTATTAATTAGATGTGCCTTATCCAACCAGATGTTTAGAGGAAAAAAACCACCTTTTTTTGACGGGTACTAGATATTTGCCCACTAAACTGTCCCTAGGTGATCTATAGAGCAATTCTATGCACCTATTATCATGAAACACTTCTACTCAATTTTCTTTTGGCCATAAATGTCATATAACACTAGGCATATCCTCCCAGAGGGACACTATCAGCAAAGAAGTATTATTAAAAACTTATTTCTCTAGCTAAACAAAAAGGTTACTCTTATCTCCAAATTATAAAAGAAGACGATGCTTCTAAATGTTTCTTTTCCTCTAGGTTTAAATGCATAGAAATGAAGCCCATCATGTGAAGGTCTAATTGGAAGGAAAACTAAGACGATTCAGGGAAAATGAATGTCTTCAACATAGCTAAATCCCCAATATATTTTTTGTTTAAACTATGTGGAACGGGAACTTGAGAAAGAGCTTTCTCTTTGTTCCTTTATTTAGTTTTTGAATGAAGCAAACAGTCCTGTCTGGTCTATGTACCTTCACATCTCTTGTTTATTGGTGAGATCTGCAAAGATTTTCATGAGTTGAAGTAAAATAGTCTGGGTCTCACTGTAAATTGCTGTGAAATTGATAGTAGGCTTATGTCCATCCCAACCCAACTTTGATCCCTTCAATTTGGCTGCCACTTTGCTCACCACATGTGCTCACAATGGCAAATACTTATAGTTAAAATAACAAAACTGAGGGTGGAAATGTGGCCAGTGAAACTGTGTAAATAAGTACTAAATCACAGTTGACTTATAGGTAGTCACCAGCATGTACTCACACCATCACTTATAAATGTGTGGTAGGAATCCATAAACTCAAACTTCTGCAGTCAGAATGTCTAGTCTCTAGATATATTTATCAGTATATTAATTAACAGGATATAAAGACATCTTTAATGGGTTAAGACTGTGATAAAAGTAATTTTGTGGAATAATTTTTAGTAATATCATTTTGAACTTACAACATGAAATTTGAGCCAACCACTATTTTTGTATAAATGGTGAAATGATTAGCGATACTGAAGTATTATATCTGCCTTGTCTTTGTTTTACCTACTCGTTCAATTATTCCTTTATTTTCCAGGAAGCATTGCCATCATTGTGCCTCTTGTCCTCTTGGTGACTTTGATAACTACCTTAGTAATTGGTTTAGTGCTGTGCAAGAGAAAAAGAAGGTAGGAAGCAACACTTTGGATGAGTATTTAGGGGGTAAATCATACAAAAGTTGCAAAAATGACTATTAAAAATTCATAAAGTGACAAGTTATTTCAACTCCACAAACCTGTGTTTTCTAAATAACTGTATTCATTTTATTTCAAATGATTATAATTACATAACTGTTCTCTCATATTATGTTAATGGACTGGCTCCAATTATGCTAACAAATGACCAAAGGCTCATCGTCTTTAATATTTTGGTAATAATGTTTCAGCTCATCTAGCATTATGTGAAAGATCAAAGATGTCTGAAGTATACTATTATATATTATTGTGTATGATTGATAACAGTAGTACAGTGATGAGGATTTGATTCTGAATTGTATGTCATAAATTGTCTATTTCATTAACAAACAATACAATATTTTACTCTGTATCTCACAGGAAGTATCATTTCGATTTATAGAAGCATAAATAATGACAAGGAAGGTTATATGTAGAGTTTAAACTGGGAATAGATTTTTTTAATTGATTTTTAAAAAATAATTTTATTGAGAAACAAATAGCAATGACACAGTTTCAAAACCAATTAGTAGGACAGTTCCAATAATTAATACATTGCATATTGTTGTGTTAGTGGGTATTCATTGTACAAGATACAGACATGATATCCTGTCCACAGGCACTATTAGTACAAATTTTTCTATTAATGGAATAAGAGAATGTAGATGTATATCTATCCTATTTTGAATATAGAGATACAAAATGGCCCTTCATTTGTATCCCCTTTTTCTGTTTAGTTTTGTCCAAGATGGGTATTCCATTGTCACTTAAATATTATAGGTGTGTGAATTCAACAAAATATTCCAATATAGTCCAGTAGGCCATAACAGTAGTGGGTTTTCTGTAGGACTGGCAATGTCAGAAGTTGTTGACTTGAGCCCTTTACAGCTCGGCATATTAATATGACTGTGCTTTTTATACTTTGTTTTTGTACTTGTCTGCTGGATGGTTAAGACCAAGATAAAGCAAGACCTATATAAAAAGAAATTTAGCTTTTGTATCTGATGAGGTCAATCAAATCCCCTCAGGACTTATCCTGAAACCCTGTACTGCAGTTTGTAGATCCTTGTCAGTGTCAACCCTGTGGATGAGCATGGCCATTGCCTGACCAAAGTGCTCTCTGTGAAAGCCTGAGAGAATGTTTTCTCTCCATGTGACTCTCTACATCATCGATCACCTTCCTCTTTCGCCGCATAATCTCCTTGATCAGAAAATTTGGGACACAATTGAGTTACATGATGTTACAGTACAGGTTCTCCTAAGTCCTGACTCTTCACTGACCTTGAAAGGTTAGGGCCAAAATGTTGATTCCTGGCAACCCTTCTTTTTCTTTAATTTTTGACCTGCAAACTTAGATTATTAACCCTCCAGAAGAGAAGCTTGTTGTTATTACCCTACTACATAGGCAGTTGAGTTTAATCTCTCTATCTATCTGAATATCAAACATCTTAGGCATAACATGGAATAGGTTTTAATTGATTTTTGAATTGTGCAAAAAGAGATTCTGGACTTTTGAATTTGTGGTAAATTAACAATGTATTTCGAAGTATGTTTGCCAATATTTTGTTAGAGATCGTATCAGAGAAAATGAAAAAAATACAATTTGTAAAAGTAAATTGGTAAGTGCTCAATAATATGGTATTAGCTATGCAAGAAAATTGAAAGGAAAAAAATATTTCCAAAATAATTGAATTATAAAAACGTGCATTTTTATTTTCATAGATTTGACAAATTTTATATATTTCAAATTAATTTCATTTATCAATTTACTTATAGTTGGTGGGTTAAATAAATCAGTAAATTGATAAATAGGGTCATTTTATTACTTTGAATAGTGATAGCTTACATAAAGGGCACTCGTGTTCATATACACATATTCTAGGACAAAAACCATCAGAAGACAGCCTATTATCAACGGAGGAATAAATGTAGAAATTGGCAACCCATCCTATAACATGTATGAGGTGGATCATGACCACAACGATGGGACTCTTTTGGATACAGGCTTCATAGTCGACCCAACAAAGGTAAGACATGTAGGATGAAGGCTAGCTAAGGCCCACGCTCTTCACTGGAAACTTAGCCTAGGACTCTGGATCTTATTATTTTTAAATAACTGAAGTTGTAGTAAAGGTATCTAGAATTCATGCAGTGATAATAGTCTCTTCTAAAGAAAACATACAAGATAAAATTCATTCACATTGAGCATGCCAGTTCACATGTTTTATAAAACATTAACTCATTTGGTTTATAAAACTGCACAATCTACTTAAAATAGAGCCCATTGAAATGTGTTAAAATGTGTGCACAGTGAAATTGTGTGTTGTTATGAAAGTGTTGGCTGATTCATTTTTCAATATAAGAAGGGTACATTGTCAAAATAAGTATTTTATTTCCAATTGTGTTCTACTGAAGAACTCACTTAGATATGTTGTTGGGTTTTATATAACCAATTTTTGAGAACTATATTTTTATCTGCTGAGATATCTTTCTGGATTTGAATCATATTACTGGTACATGTTGTTTACAATGAAGCAGCATTTTGAAAGTGTCTAGTGTTTCTTATTACTCTGTGTGCAAATGACATAAGCATAGGGATAGAATATACTGTTGTCTTCCAACCAGTTACTCATATTACCACATATATGCATGTAAAATTGGGAAAGAAAGAAATGTATAAGAAGTTAAGACGAGAAAAACTGCAAACAATTGAAAAAAGGAGACAGAACTAAAACATTAATTGCTTCTTTCCATAGATTAGCAGAAATGCACAGTACAGTTGTCCAAATAAATCACTTTTTATTGTATGGATAAAACTAAAATTCTTAGAAAGCACTAGAATGATTTTCCTAATTAAAAGTGATACTATATGTTATTCCTGGATCTCAGTTTTTTTTTCATAACTAATTCTGATAACTGTGACTCTAAGAAGCATTTTCTACTTGAAAAGTAAAGACTATTCTATTTATATTTCATTTCAAAATTCATTTATGAAGCAAAAATATCTAATACATAGACTTGTGAGATTATTTGAATTTTTTTATCTTTAAGGTGGGACAGTGTCTCCCTATCCAGTTGGCCTTGAGATCCCTTTGAAGCCTGGGCTGAACTCAAACTAGCAATGATCCTTTTTGACTCAGCCTCAAAGTGCTGGGTTTACAGGCATGTGCCACCATTCCCAGCTTCTTTGAGTTTTTTCTTAAAAAAAAAATAGGGCACACACAAAACAGCCAGCATTCATAAATGTACCATAAACAAATGAAGATGCATCTTAAGTGATCTTTAAGTACTTCTTACTTTTTTTTCAAGGGGAGTTCACATTTTCTCTCCTTATTTTTATTTCTAGTGGAGAACATCAATTCAGTTTGGGTACTTACAGAGAAAAATTCTTTATTACCTCATTTTAAAACTTTAAAAAGTTTACTCCAGGAAAATAAAACTGTATTTCACTGGTGCCCAAATATATTTTAATGTATATAGTACTTACCACCAATTTGGTGACTAAGTAAAATTTCAAGAACTATGACTTAGAAGACTAATTTTAGAAGGCTTCTACTATTACAAATATAAATATGAATTGTTCTATAGGAGGCAAATTTGATTACAGAAAGCACTTCTAGTTTTAACAGGTATGGGGAGTAATAAAACTGAAGTTTACATTAAACTCATCTTAACAATCAAATAAAATCCACACACAATTTACAGTGTCATAATGTCCATACATGACTTAAACATATATAACTTGCTTTATATGTAAGGAATCAATTTGAAGAATCAATTTGATTACTTTCAAAGTGGGCAAAACTTTTGATTCAGTGATATAATCAAAAGGAGTGAAGTATATGATAGAGTCACTAAAATACATGGGCTATAAAAGTCTTCACAGATTAATGACAGAAATATTTACTGGCTTAATCTCAACATGCATCTCAATATTTCCCAGGAAATTTTCAGAAGGTTATAAGTAATTTGTAAAGAATTTACTCCAAATTCACATTTTTAGATTTATGGATAATTACAGAGGATTTTTTTAGAATTGTATAAGTCAAATTTTTCTGGAAAAAACAGATGTAATATAGACTTATTTTATGCAAAATCTTTTCAGTGGCTCCTTCCCTTTGTATATCCTTTGTAGCTACTCATTGTTAAGAACTGCTGCTTAAAGTTTTAAAATATATGCATATTCATGTTCTCCAAGTGCACATCTAATTTTCAATTACTAATAAGTACTGTATTATGAATATGAAGTAACAGATTGCATAATTCTGCTTTAAGCCCAATAAAGTCTAAAGCCAATGACCTTGCTTGGAGGCTTAGTTCAGCCAATATTACAAATGAGTCTTTTTTAAACTAAGGTCATGTTTAAAAGCTCAGACAAGTCTGTTTTTCTCTATTAAATTTAAAATTTGGCCTTTTCCCTAACATTATGAAGTGCTGATGATTCTTTAATTAGAACTGGTTGAGTTGGGCATAAGGGCCTGCCTGGCAAGCACAAGGTCCTGAGTTCAACTGCTGAGACAAAAAAAAAAAAAAAAAAAAAAAAAAGTCAGATATTTGCATGTCTAGATAGGTCCACTATGAGAACTCAGAATTTTTCTGTGTCAAACCTTAAATTTGGGAAGACTGGTATATTTTTTACGAAGGTTTAAATGTTGGTATTGCTTCATGGAGGAGGATGTAGTAAAATAGAAATGAGTAGAGATTGCTACATGCATAGCATCTCTGTCAGCAAGCTGGCCGTAACTGAAAGGTCTACCTGGGCAGCAAAGAGCCAACATTAACATTTCTTTTCTTTCTTAAGTTGTGAGTGTTAAGGTGAGCACAGTGTTCATGGCCTGGGGCTAGAGAATATTCTTATGTTACTTTTATCATTTGACATTTACAGCTATGAGAAATGCTTCCATGATATTCGATGAGAAACTAAAGTTTTCTGTTTATACACAGGCCAGGTATATAGGGGGCGGGCCCAGTGCTTTCAAGCTTTCACACACAGCGCCACCCATCTACCTAAACTCTGATTTGAAAGGACCACTAACCGCTGGGGTGAGAGAAGCATCTCATCATTCCATATCCATTCCATCACAGATCCCTCTCAGCAACAGTGTGATCACTGCATTTAGATGTTTATCTTTAATTATTTTTTAATTAAGAAGAGATTTCAAAACAGCATTTAATGGGGGCCTTGTGTGTCCCGTGTATACAAAATTACATATAAAACATCTTAATTTAGGAAAGATGTTAAGCAGAAATATTACTTCTACTACACTTTAAGATGGTATAGTCCCTTAATGAGGAATTCACTGTTCTTAGAAGAGAATCTTTAGTCAGAAATTTAAATTGAATACTTTAAAGTTAAATTAGCTTTTCTCACTCTTCCTCTTCCTCCTATCTATCTATCTATCTATCTATCTATCTATCATCTATCTATCATCTGCAACTTTAAAGTATATACCTTAAAGTGTATCATCATAATGAGAAATCAGAATGATCTAATAAAACTAGTTCCAAGTTTTCCTTTTTTGATTGGTAACTAATATTTAAGGAAAACTACTTTCTAAAATTATATACTTCACTTTATGTTTTAATGTATTTAGTACAGGGTCTACAAAGTCTCATTACACAAATTGGACTCATAGTGATCCTTCTGTTTTCAGCTTCCCAACCACTGGGATTACAGGCACATGTGACCATGCCTAGCCTGTCTATTTCACTTTAGGCAGGAAAGGAATCAAGTATGAATATCAACATTCCTAGGGATTAGTGTTTTTGCCTTGTTCCTGTTTCCCTTCAACTGTTTTCATTCCCATCTATCATGTGTGTCTCTTTTGCATGATCCAAAGTGTATTACTTCTGCACAAACCAAACAGGAAAAATTAATGTAGGTAATACTTTCTCGGTTAAGCTGGTGTTTGCTAAGTTCCGAGCATCGTATGCCTTTCCCAGCTTAAGGAGCTCACTGGCACTTGCCTCCATGGTACTTCAGAAGGTTTGGTCTGTGTACTCTTTACTGTGTGCTTCCCAATTCTTGGGAACTGTGCACAGATGCTTCGCTGAATGAATATAGGTTCTTTGCAGTAAAAATATTGCCCTTATTTTGAAGCATACTTTATTGATGAATGTACTTTTTCACTTTTATTCTCTTGTTTTTAACACCACTTTGAAAGATAATTTAAGAACCAAACAATTAGGTGAATTTTTGTATGCACACCTTCCCTGTCACTGATAGCTTGCAATGACAAAAAGAGGTGATGCAGACTGTGAGGAGCCACGTGACCTCAATATGCTTAGATATTTCCCAATAAAATGTCACTGAACGTAGCTTGCACAAATATTTCTTCTGGCTCTTCCTTTTACATCAGAGCTCCTGTTAGCTTCACAAGTTAAAGAACATAAAAGTGTATTTTTATCTAACAGCAGGTTAAACTAGACTAAAACCTATGAACATAAAATATGAATTGCATTTCAGTGTGTATTTAGTAGATTGGGTGCATATGAGTATGTACCATGAAAATGTAGACCTCTTACAAATGAGTCAAAAACTAATGAAATTATACTTATTGATTTTTTTTCTCTTCTTCAGCCGACAAATTACTCCAACCCAGTGTATGCAAAGTTGTACATGGACGGACAAAACTGTCGAAACTCCTTAGGAAGTGTTGACGAACGCAAGGAACTGCTTCCAAAGAAAATAGAAATTGGTATAAGAGAGACAGTGGCATAATCAGTGATATCTTTTATATGCTGTATAAATGTATAAAATATAAGGATTACTTTTGTATGTTCCAACAGTATTATACTTGTTTTGGCATCAGCATTACCTCCTTGTTTATCTTTTCCCTGGTAAAATTGTTTTCTGAGTATTTTGGTCTTAGTTTTTTGCTGATGACTATTGATTGACCATTTGTATGGTATTTTTATGAAAAAGAACTGCACTACAGTACAATTTCCAATTTGCTGCTGATATAATAACCTTCGAATTTGTTAAAATTAAAAACAATGTATTCCTTTGTAGTGTGAATATGAGCAATCTATTTTATATGAACTTTTTTGGTTCTACTTAATCAACAAAGTAATCTCTGCACTTTTTAATTCTATGGTCTAAATGCTGTACTACAATGTAATTTTGTTTACTTGTTTAAATTGATGGATAACAACTGAACGGACCACTCTCTTCTTTGACCATGAACTCTGATGCAGGCTTTGCAGAAAAAAAAAATGTAAAAAATGTAGCCCTCACAAATTCACTGTCACATGCTTTGAAATTAGCCTTAGGTTGCCAAGTGATAGATAAGAATTTTGAGGAAAAAAGTTAAAAATGTGTAAAATTAGTAATTTGCATGAACACAGATGACTACATTTTCCAAAACTTAGTGGACTCTGCGATATGCTGAATGTGCACATCCTGTAAGCAATAGTTATATTTCGGTGGTAGAACATAGCAAAACATAGCCAGAGGAGGACAGATCACTCTTGTGTTGGCATAGAGCTTTTGTGCTTCCTCGGTCCCGAGGTAGACAGCCAGTCTACAGCACAACAGGGTACTCGGTACTCATGTCTTAGATAGTTCTTCCCAATTGTATGCATCTCGTGGAGAATTAACCCAACCCCTTACCACACTGAACATTATTAAGGAATAATACAGTAGCACACAAATTGAGACAAGATTTTAATCATGTGAAGGAATTCTCTATGATCAGTGCAAAAGAAGAGGTGAAATATTCATTTTGGTCCAGAGTGATTTGTGATTATTTTCAAAGACAAAGTGACTAATCCATTATTTTCCCTACTCGAAATAAATTCCTCAGTGATCTTCCAAGACGTAGAAGAGCCAAATACCTACTCAAAGGTGGAGAGAATGAATGCTGTACCACTTGTTCTGGTACTCGGGTTTCCTTTGGGTTATACAAAACAAATGCACCCCATTTGGATTTTTTGTTTGTTTTGTTTTGTTTTTCAAATTTTGATTGAAAATACGATTTATTTATGTTGTATAAAAAGGATAGCATTTTTATACAAATATCTTTAAAGGCACAAAAGATTTATTCACAAATTGTAGAGGGCTTTTTGTTCCTCTGATAGACATGACTGACTTTTAACTGTCATAATGTATTAACCTAACAGATGAAATATGTTTGTGGTTGCTCTTTATCCCTTTGTACAAGCATTAAAACAAACTGCTGTTTTATAAGAAGACTTTTTGTTGTACTATGTGCATGCATACTACCTATTTCTAAACTTTGCCATATGGAGGCCTTTATAAACTATTGATTTATGTAATACTAGTGCAATTTTGCTTGAAAAAAAATGTTATGCATATCATAAAATTTTTCAGGTTCTTGTTTAAGTACATTTTTTAAATTGAACAGTATTTTTCATTTTGGTTATAATAGTCATTTTGCCTATGTTTCTACAATGAAGTGTTAAATACTTTATAAGAATTGTTGACTGACTTATTTAAATGAAATTCTACATATTTAAGTGCTCGTGTTGGTTAATTTTTAAAAATAAGACAATTCTTTCCTTTATGTGCTTTTACATTGTCCTAGAAACCATAATAGTGAGCATGATGTTTTCTATCCCTGGATCATTGTCTGTAGGGAAGGATGGAATCCAATGTCAGATTTTTCAAAGCAGCATAGAGGAAGTGTTTTCTCTGCCCTTGAAATAGAAGCATTGCTTTTTGCTTTTTCTTTTCTCATTGGACTTGCCTCAGACTCATAGTGTAATGGAAACATATAGGTTATATGAGCAGGAAGCTACCCTCCCTGTTCTTCAGAATTGCACATTATGGGAAACTGAGATTTCATCACATGAGACCTGACATTGTTCATTAAGTGCAGTGATCATTGCTGTGTACTTGGAGTAGGAGTCTGGAGACTGCAGAACTGAGTGTCTGATACTCCTGCACTGTCACACACTTACCTTTTCTAAAGAGATCTTTTAATAGGAGAGATGAATAAATGCAACTGAAATTAATGTTTCAAAGGTAAAGAATCCATGGGTTGGTACAACCTTGATCCAAGGAAGAGAATAAGCCAGAGGATAATAGCCACCCTTTGTGATATATGGCCAACAAACACCTGGCATCTATCATTGATAATTTATTTTTATTTGGGTTCCTGCAAGCCATACTCTAGGAAGCTCAGGCTTAATGAAGAGCCTGGTAGACTATCCACAAAAGCTTTATATGGTCATGACACTTACTTGGACATCAGCTTTGCTGCTCCCTGCAGATTCAGAATAATCATGCTAGAGTCCATTGTTTTTATTTGCAGCTAATTTATATTGAATCTGTGTGTGTGTGTGTGTGTGTGTGTGTGTGTGTGTGTGTGTGTGTGTGTGGCTGGCTCAGCCCACCCTGGAGCTGGGGCTGGAACAGCATGTGGTGCCAGGGACCAAACTGTAGTCCCTGTGCACTTGCCTAAATTTGCCTAAGCCGGTGTTTTACACAGCTGAGCTATCTTGCTGGTCTCCTACATTTAGTCTTTACCAGACCAAAATTAATTTTTCTGTTCCCAACCTTGTTGATATATGTAGTGTAATTTGTTATTATGAGTTCATATAAATTCTAGAAATTCAAACGTACAAATATGTTCTGCCAATAAAAACCTTCCTACCTAATTCATTTAAAAATCAGAAGGAGATACTTCATAAAAAGTAGTGTTTTCTGCAAAGTTTGTCCTCTACCTGAGTCTCTTTTCTTTGTAACCCTTCAATAGGGTAGAAGACTTGGCTTGATCCCTGCATTGCATCCATTTAGGTGATGATAATATCCTTCCCACTAAATTTACATCTAAAAATGTTTATAACTGTTAATAAATACCTTTTGCAAGTGAATTTAGCTTTTCAAAAAAACTGCTATTCTGGGGGCTGGTGAGATAGCTTGGTGGTCCACGTGCTTGCCTGGTAAGGCAAGGGCCCAGGTTTGACCTCCAGTACCACATGCCCTGTGGGCCCCAGAACCTGGGTACACAAAGCAGACCACGAAACCAAACATGGTGGTACACAGCTGTAATTCTGGGGAGGCTGAGACAGGGAGGATCACTAAGAGTCCTAGCTGTGTAGGGAGACTCTGCACCAAATGAATAAAAAATTTTCTTAAAAAATTAGAATTTAAAAAACCTAATCTTGAGCCCTATTCTTTCTCCTACTATTAAATGACTGAGCAGTTGAAGAGCTGTCATAACAGATCCATTATCAACAAAATCATGGCTTTCCCAGTTTTTATTCTAACACTTTATTGTTGTTTGTTTGTTTTGTGGTTTTTTTGTTAGTTTGTTTTTGTTTGTTTGTTTGTTTTTTGTATTTTAGGGAAGGATCTATGGGTTGCTCAGGGATCCCTACTAGATCGGACTTGTAGTGATCCGCCTGTTTACAGCCTCCCAAGAGCTGGAATAACAGGCGAGCACCCATGCCCAGTCTCAACTGCTATCTCAGCATGCCCCGGGGGAACAGGGATGGCACAACAGGCCCGGGTATTGAACCCCCAGCCTCTGTGCCTTCTTGCAGGTGCTTTAATCCGCTGAACTATTTGGCCAGCCCCTAAACCTTTAATGTTGATAGTGCCTACACTTTTAGCAAAGCGCCTACACAGTAAACAATATGCCATTATTAATGGGAAAAGATTCATATCAGAACATGAATAATTTCACATAAATTAGACCACATAATTTATACATTTTTAAAAAATTTAATATCACTGATGGTTGTGCTCTATTTTGCTTTATGTTTTATCACACGCTTGTTTTGATGATTCTTAACGTTAATATTTAACCTCACACTTCCTGCTAAGAATGATATTTTCCTTATTTATGATGATTTGCGGATGAAAAAGTGAAAGTCTTGTAATAGTTATTTTAAATGAATTATATAACATGCAAGATGCCCACAATTTCAAAATCCTTAAGAAAGATGGCATTCATGATCAAAGAAGTAGAAAAGCATTTCTTAATTTTATTATTCTTTTCCTCTCTATACTTGCAAACATACCCTATGGATATAAAATTTTATGCTTCTCCAAGAATAATATTAATATTGACATTCAAATTTTCTGTATGGTTTCAGATAAAAGTTTAAAATTTAAGAAAACAAGAATCTTTCAAAGACAAATAAGACATAGTCAACAGTTTTTTAATGCAGTTCTTTTGATATTATGCCCATTTCAAATTAATTTCTTCCTAATGACTTTCTCAATAAGACACAATATATTTCAATATGTAGATTAATAGTTTTAGTACAATGTGAATTTTTGAATTGTAACTTTCAAGACGTGTGAAGTTCAAGGATTTCTTTATGAAGTTGGTTTTAGAGTTATATAATGCAAAAAGTATTTCTTCCAATTATTTGTAATATGAGAAAAATAATGAAAGTAGTCAAATATGGGTTATTTTTCCACTCTTCTACCACCTCAATTGTTAGCTTGACATAATCAGAGGAGTATGGGGCTGGAGAGATGGCTCAGTGGTCTAAAGCACCTACTTAGAACAAGTTTAGCAAAGCACAGGGACCACGGTTCAATCCCCCAGCAACACATGCCAGCCAGCCCCGCCCCCTGGTGGGCTGAGCTGGCCACACACACACACACACACAAATAAATAAAAAAATTAAAAAAAAAATAATCAGAGTAGTAGCTTGTCCCAGAAAAGATAAAGATAACTAAAACACATGTGGAAGGTGTTTTGTTCAGTAGGACATTTAGATTTTGATCTGTCCCTCTCCAAA